CCGCTTGCCCGAAGGCGGCAGGGCTGGACGCGCTGGGGCCGGAGCCCACGTGCAGGCGTCCCTGCTCCCCTTCGGGTCTGCGCTCTTCTTCTGGAGAAGGGCACCGTCGCCTCGGTGGCAGCTTTGGCCGGGCGAGCGGCTGGGTGGGCGGCCTCCACCCCGGTGGGGACCGGGCACCACCAGAGCTGCCCCGGAGCCGCAGCGAGGGGCGCTCCCAAAGCCCTCCAGGCATCCCCCTTCTCCCACGTGCCATCCCCGGAGAGCTGAGCGCGTTGGGGCAGCGGGAGGAGGAGGAGGAGGGCCCCTTCCCCACGGGGCCCGGAGGTGTGCTCCTCAGGGACACCCACGGGTGTCCCCCCCCCAAGGGGAGCCACCACCCACCTCAGGAAAGGGGGCTCATGTAGGCAGGGCACGGCCACGTGTGCCACGTGCGCATCTACGGCACCCCTACACGAGCAGGCACGTCTGCGCCCACGTTAGTAGCCGCAGCTATGAATGAAATTAATTGGTTTTAATTAGCCTGTGTAAACAAGATCCTTAAATTTGTTGCCACATGAGGGTTTTGGCAGTCTCCGATAAATTAATCCTTTTTATTATATCAATGACAGGAAGATGATCAAATAGGCTTTGATATAGATTTTGGGATTTATCACCTAGTAGCACTCTGATATGCTTGAACTTTTTTTTTCCCTCCTGCTGCTGGAGGCAAGAACGAGGCTACAAATGCCATTTGCTTCAGAGCCTGCTCACAAGTGAAACGGGGGATTTAGCGACAAATGGACAGGGGATGCAAGGGAAACTTTGAAGAAAAGTTTGTCTTTGGGATTTGTTGGGGAAGTAGAGTTTTCAGTGGGTAGGGTCACGGGGGGAGAGATGTGGGGGCGAAGGGGACCCTGTAACGAGGCACAGCAATTAGTGAGTCTTGTCAGCGCACCCTGCAGCTGGAGGCTGAGCTAAACCGGCAGCACGGTCCCTGGCTTCACCTCCGACACCGGGGCACACGGTGTCTTCGTCCAGCCTGTCCTGCCGGAGAGCAGAGGATGGTGGAGGGGAGAGCTGGCACAGGGCAGGGGCGACGGTGAGTGCGGGAGGGACAGCCCCAGACCCGCAGCCCCCGGCCGAGCGGCTCCGCTCCCGGGGACCAGGACCATCCTGCAGCTGCCCACCCGACGTGGCGCAGCACGAAGCCAGCCCATGGCTTTTCCCCACTGACTCAGACGATGCTCCACCGTGCTCCGAAAGAGTGGTACGTATGTGTGGATGAGGGCAGCACCCTGGGGCTTTCGGGCTGTACTAAAGACAGCGTGGTCACAGGCATGGCCTTAGCGAGGGCAGCAGGAGCCTGTCAGCTGCCATTTCATGGTATCGGCAGCTGCGCCAAGACCTTCCCTGCTTATCCTACAGTCTCAGCCTGCGCCCAGTTCCCTCGGCACAGGCTCCCCATTAGGCTGGCCTATGGACACCATTCCTCCCACTGTGCCGAGACGGGCTTCACCGGTGCTGCAGGACACTGTGGCGGGGCTGGTTCCTGCAGCAGATTTGCTCTGGCATGTTACAGCTGATTCCCCAGGTACTGCTACGACGCAGCCCAGCACCTACGGCTCAGTTGTCAGCCAGGATTTTAAATATCAGCACCATCCTTCCCACTGACACCCGTTGCAGGAAGGAGCGAGTGGCTTTGTATTTCAGGTGCACGGGGAAAACAGACCCGGTGGCAGATGGGCTGCCCAGGGTGCCCAGCACGCCCGTGGGAGGCGAGCAGCACCCACATCCCATCTGGAAAGCCCAGGAGACCAATTTAGAAGCTGTGCTGTCCCAGGCGTCCCCTCTCCACCGTGGGCATGATGGCTGGGGAGCTGCTGCGCACAAAACCTTCTCCTGCTCTCCACCACCAAGGGAAGGATAACTGGATGGGAATTCTAATCATATATTATATTACCGTGTCATATTAGACTAATAAAATCCTAATATGATACAGGAATGGGGAGCATATCATAACTCCTCTGTGGCTAATACAATGCACGCAATAAATCACTCCCAGAGCTTATCCTTAACAATTGTATCAGTGCTTTCTGTGTCATGCTGATAACTCAGTCCCTCTGATCTAATGGTTCACTTTTCTTCACAGTCCATATGGCAGTGACATTAAAGCTAATGAAATAAAATAAAATTTGCCAATCTTTGAAGAATTCCATTCTTTAAAAAGATGTATTTTATTAACACAAACTGGAAACATCTTCAGTTACTCGGAGTTATTTTTATCACATTGGAAATACATGGCACAGATACTGGCATCAGCATCTTACATCCGACTCACATGTGGTCTTTGCAAAAGACGTCGCTACAGGATAACACCGCACCGTTCAGCCTAGCACACTTAATGCCAAGTTCGCATCATCAGCGGAGCTGCCCTCATTGAACCAGTCCCGTGGGGCATGGATTTTGCCATGCCGGAAGGTCGCAGCCTCCCTGACTCTTCCCTTCCTGGGCTGAGGATCCCTCATTGCATCCAAGGCCATGTACAGAGGGAGCTGGGAGCTCAGTGTCTGAATGCCAGGGAGAGTAGGTCATCACCTGCTTCACTTTTGGCACACGGAGGTTTGCTTTTCTTCATGGGGCTGTGAGAGGGCTGCAGGGCTGCTCCTGCAGCTCTGCAAGTCGCAAACCCGGTTGCATCTGCCAGGCGCCGTTTCTCCCTGGCTGCGGGGCTTCTCACGACCCCTCCTGCAGGGCGGCCCAACCACCAGCAGCTCCTCGGCGCAGCGGCCGTGCTGCGGCCCCCCCCCCCGGCCCAGGTGCACGGCAGGTCAGACGGAGCTGGGGCTGGTCCCAAAAGCGGCTGGTCCAGCCGGGCACCGGGAAGCGCCGTGGGTCTCTCCTCCAGACACCCTTGTGCCTCCCACAGCCCCGTGCTGCACAGCGTGGCGATGGCGGTGGCGGGCGCCTTCGTCAGGCACGGGAGATGGTGATTCCTGGGACCCGCTGCAAATCCCCTGGCCATTCCCGCTGTGCTCTGTGCAGGGTCTCCAGGCTGGCACCTCGCGGGGCTGGCAGGAGCCACGGCCACGGGGCACGGGGCTGGCAGGCTTTGCTCCTCTGCCACCATGGTGCGCTGGGCTGCAGCGGCTCCGGTCACAGTGACGCTCACGTGTGCCAACAGCTCAAACTTGGGCACGGGGAATCAGGATGGCGGCACTAAGCGGTCCCACGGGCGGGAGGGCTGAGGGTCTCCTCCCCACTCCAGGATGGGTGCGCGGTCCTGCGGCAGAGGTCCCACACGCCCGGGGGGGCCGCAGCCCCCATTCGGGGTGCATGCGCGAAGGAGGGATCCTTGCACGAGTAACTGTTCCTGCGCGAGGCTCTGACGGCCCTTCGGGGCATAGCTACTGGGTGAAACACAATACCATCAACAGCATGATCTTAATACTGGTGCTTGCAGTAAACCTTTCTGATGTGTGATCAAGCCTCAAGGATAAGATGTTTATTATTTGCCATGTAACCACGTGGCTGTTCTCCAATGTAAGGAAAGGCCAAATTGCACTTGTAATTCAAAGGGACCCAAAGCCTTAATGCTGTAAAGAAGCACGCTAATGATGCCCAGCGGGCGCGGGGCATGCAAGTGCGGCCCAAAGGTTGTTGATGGCCTTCCTATGAACCTCCTCAGTGTGTGACAGGTCCTTGCCTGTGGCCAGCAGAGATGTGATCAAGATGAGGGACGTCTGTGTGTTCATTACGCTGCCTACGCCTCCACTGACACACTTTACATTTAAAATACTGTTTCCTTTGAGCTGGAGCATAAACACCGAGCGTGTGGACTTGGGGAGCTCCATTAGCAAATGCAAATCGTTCGGCACTTTATCCTCTGCACACAGAAGTCTTCGGAAGTCCATGGTCCCCATCTGCCCCAACTCTCGTTAACTGATAATGAAGGCTTTGCAATGCACGTCTAGTTATTTACTTATTTATTTAAATGCACCACCTGTAGTGAAAGAAGCAATGTTCAATTCTAAAACTGATCGAGAAGTTGTATCTGCTCTGTAAACAAAAGCAGAAGCAGTAACTGGTGCACAAGGGCACGCAGGATGCAGAGGGAGAAGAGTGTGGCCGCGGTCCTGGGGGTGAGAGCAGGTAAACAAAGGTATTTTACAAAATAACCTGATACAAGAATTGTTGATAAGAAAAGCTGACCCACAAGCTAATTGAATCATGCAAATAATCGTTTAGCCACCAAAACAACACCTAAAGGCTTGAACAGCTGACTGGAAAGGAAACGTGATGGGCAGGCAGCTCCTCCGAGCGCAGCCTAGCCTCGGCTCCAGCCTAGCACGGGCTGGTAGTAGTGAGCGCTAGCCCTCCTCTTGCCTAGCTACACTAACCCAAGTAGTAAGTAGTTATATTTATCAAAGACCATTTGCTGCAAGTGATTAACGTTAATTTGATTTCCTGTGAGTCAATTTCCTTGAGATATGGTAAATAGGCCATTACCTGTTATTGACCTTTACTTTATTAAAAAGATTTAAAATTAGCATTTATATATATACGTCCTTCCAAAAAAGTTTTTTTAATAAAGAAAAATATTTCTATAATCGCATTACACTTGCTAGCTGAGGCTGTCATTCCAAAGTTAATGTTAAATAAAGATGGTAATTAAGAGTGAATATGATGATGATTTTTAAACTCATCTAAAGGACTGACCCCTTCCTTCGCCTCCACTTGAATTTTTGCTCCCAAGCAGAGCAGGGTGGAAGCGGAGGCAGGGGCTGGCGGGGGCAGCCTGCGGGTTGGGAAGCCTCTGCCCTGCAGGCGCTGCTCCCGCTCCTGCTCCCTGCCAGGATGCACCTCTCCCAGGATTTGCAATATCTCCTCCAGGCAAGAGGGCACAACGACCTACTGGTATTTAAAGAAATGCTCAGCTCCTGCTTCATGACAGCTTGCACTTCTGGTAGCCTACTCATCTCCTAGGTCTGGCTTAAACTGAGCAGGAAGAAATTACGTCAACG